TGCCCCAGCCATCCTGGGCAGTGGGTGCCAGCAGGGAAATATGGGAATACTGACTTTGGGTGCTTGCTGCACCTGGTGGGAGGCACAGTTGAGCTCTTGTGGGGTGGGAAGAGGTGCAGTGAGCATCAGGACCCCTCTGCCCCTCTGCTCCTGCTTTAGCCCCACACCATGAGCTGAGCCTGACTTTCCCCCACAGGCTGCCTTGCTGGAGGAGCTGTTCCTGCCCACGATCCGTGAGGAGGTGCCAGCCCAGATAAACAGTGAGGAGATGGGAGCTCTGCGGGTGCTGCCACGTGGGAAGTTCAGCATGGACCCAGGCAGCACCCAGCTGGCAACTTTCCCTCTTTCTTTCTTTCTTTCTTTCTCTCAGAGGTCCTGAGACAAGGGGTTTTCCTGCCCCACATCACCAGTTTCACTTACACCGATGTCAACATCACCATTCACAAGGTAAGAAATAAGACATCGAAATTGCTCCCTGCTGTGCTTGATTTAAAGGAAGCCTGGCAGCAATGCTACCCTCCCAGCTCCAGAATAAATCAGAGCCTGGTTGTCCAGCCCTGGTAACTTGCAGGATCATGTTCCACTGCCTGAAATAGGCCCAGCCCCTCTTTGGCCCCATGGCCACAGGCAGTGGGGTTAAAGTGGGGCTGTGGGGGTGATGGTGAAGCCCTGTGTGGGCTGATGGAGCCTCACAGGCAGCATGCTCAGTCCTCCTTCCTTCCTTCCTTCCTCACTCAGGATTATGTCTTGATCCCCTGCAACCTGCAGCTAGAGGCAAGGGCTGCAGAGGCAAGAACCTGGGAGTGAAGTTTGGTGTCTGGAGTAGAACAGTGGCAGAATCATTCAGCTGACTCTCACATCCTGCTCTGTGCTTTGCCACTGCTTGGAATGTTGAAAGTCTTCTTTCTTGACGTACTAAAACATCATGGTTTTATATTCTGGAGAATAATGGTGTTGCACTAGCAGCTTTCTCTTCCAGCCCTGCTCCTGGTAGTTTTGTTGCACAGAGAATGGATTGTAACAACGTTCTGTTCTTTAATTAAACATTTCTCTTTAATTCTGCATTTATTGGTGAGACTATTGACATTTTTCCCCCCTCAACAATTTGCACCTATAAACAGATAAATTTTGCCCATCATGTCCAGACCCTCCATTTAATTAATTCCACTCATTTACAAGGATGCAAAACAGACTTGTGCCTCTCAGCTGCAGAACAACATAGTCCCTACAAGGAGAGATCTTTCATCTGCTTTTCCTCCATGCCTCGTGTTACTATGGGAACATTACAGCTGGTAAGTTTCCTGGGTCAGAAAGAAGAGGAGGGGGAGGAAATCAGTCTGCAGAATGGTTTCTAATTTTAGACCTGAAGGCAGTTATATTTTCAACACTTTGCTTCTGAGGAAGCTCATCACAGAGAAGATGCTGAATGAGAGGTGACTGCAGGCCTCCGACTGCGCCGGCGCCGCGCCCGCTGGCATGGCGATGCTCCTTCCCACTGACCAAACACATCTCCTGGCTGTTCAGGAACACAAAGGGAGGAAAAAACACCCACAGCAGACACAGGCATCCAAAGGAGGAGGGTGGGTCATAACAGAGCTTCAAAAGCTGCCCCAGTCACTCAATCACTGGGTGCTGTGGGCATCTACCCCAGACAGGGAGAACATGAGACTGTGCTGATGCCCAGGAGGAGAATCCTTGTCCCTCACCATGCAGACCAAGAGGAGAATCCTCATCCCTAACCATGCAGACCAAGAGGAGCATCCTCACCCCTGACCATGCAGCCCAGGAGGAGCGTCCTCATCCCTGACCATGCAGCTCCCACCTCAGCTGTCCCATGGTGATGCTTCACGTAACCACAAAACCTTATTAATTATATCTACATCTGCTTTCACTTGCTACAACTATACCCATCATTTCTAGCTGCTGAAAAGCACTTCAAAACCTTCTATTTCAAAGGCTCAGAAATAGGAAAAGCAAACAAAACAAGCCAGGTTGATTTACTGCAAGGAGTAAAGAACCCTGAAGGTTTATATGCCCAGTGTGGGGACCTGACTAATGATGTTAATGCCTGAGGTTGGCCATAGCAGGAACAGCTCTGAAGAAAAGCTTCCTGGTAGAGCTGCAACCATTATTCTTTGACTAATATATGTTAAACCAGCTTCCCAAAAGGAATAAGCTACAGTAGTGAAAAGATGCATTTCTTTGGAAGGGAATAGTCTGGCTCCAAGTTTTACTGCATGACTTTGCCTCTCCAATGCAGGGCTGGAGTCTCAGGAGCTGCACCCACGACTGCCAGCCCCACCTGGGAATAGCCACAGCTTAGAGCTGCCTCATGCTGGAGAACAAGGGTGTTCTGTTTCTCCCTCCAGACACCCCATTTACTGAGAGTCCCAGCACAGCCAGGGAAAAGGAATGCTGAAAAAATTGTTTGCATTAGCCCCCTTGGCAAACACAGAACCCATCCCTTTCCTGGGCAGTCCTGCAGGAGGAGCTGCCTGGTGACCCCCAGCTTCCCCCACTGCTGGCACATGGAGCAGCACACACCAGCCAGATGGGGAACAAGCCCCTTCTCCAGCCCCCACAAAACAGAAGAGGGATGAAGCTTTTGCCAGGGGCATTGCTGGAGCAAGAGCCAGAGAGCTCCAACAAACCCCCAGCAGCACAGCCAGTCCCTGGCAACCCCTCCTGCTGCTCACCCAGCAAAAGATGTTCCAGCCTGTCAGGGTTCCAGTGTTAAAGGAACTTTCCTGAACAGGATTATTCCAGCTGTTAAGGGTTCTGGATTGCAGTTTCCTGCTCTGGGTATACTCCTGAAGCCACTAGAAATTCAGAGCATTAGATGTACAAGTTGCAGAAGTGACAGGTAACCTGGGAAGATGCTGCCTTTCCCTTTGGAAAAGGCTCCTCTGCTGCTTCCCCCTCAGTTCCATGTGATGAGCAGCACGATGGAGGCCAGACCCCAAGAGGAAAAGCCTTTTTCAGGGGCACAAGATGAACTTTTCCACTCCTCTGTGGCCCTGGGCTCGCTGTGCCAGCGCTCCATGCAGCAGCAGCCTCTCATCACACGCTCTCACCACACTGTTTTCTTTCTCAAGGCAAGCAGAGGCCTGGGACAGTGCCAGATCACAGAGCCCTCTGCAATGTGCCAGAGAAATGAATGCCTCCCAGCAGAGCAGAACACACACAGAAGTGATGGCCAAACGGGAATGAAAAGAGGCCCTAAACTTTACTCACTGTCCAGAAGGTGTTTGCTCGGGAGCCAGAACAAAACCCTGCATCAACACAGCCTGTTCTGCCACCTGTGGGCAAAAAGGATGCATGGAGACACCAAGGCCCAGCAGCGCAGGAGCCCTGAAGTGGCACAAAGCAGGTGCCAGCACAGGTTGCTGGGGAGGTGTCACTCATGCCATCCTCCAGGTAACAGGGTCCCACAGACCCCCAGAGCCTGCTCTGCCAGCTCCAGGGGCGTGCTGGTGTCAGAGAACATGAGCAGTGGGATCTGAGCTCCCTGCTGCTGGCTCCTGGGCAGCTTCCAAAGCTCCACAGCATTCGCTCTTGTTGGCAGCTCACTCCACAGGGGTTCAGCTGGTGGGACCCAGCCCAGTGTCACCACAGAGGAGTGTCCCTTCTGCCCAGGGACAGGACAAGGCTTGTGTCACCAGCAGCTGAACAGTCACTGGGGAGCACAGTGCCACAGGCAGCACCAGCCTGCACCATGCTGGGAACCAAAAGAGCTTTTTATACTCACCAGGACACTCATCCATGCACTTCAGCCCACCCAAAGCCTTTCTGCTGGACACAAGGCAGGGCAGCCCTGTGGTGACAGTGTGTAACACCGGGTTTGTGTCTGGCACAGCTCAGGAGGGCGCTGGCCAGTTCACACAAAGAGGGACCCCCGATGGGTCCAGCACCTCCTCTGCTGTGCTCAGTGACTCCTCTGCAGCACCTCACAGTGGAATATTGCCCCATCCCTCACCTGGTCAGTGCCAGACTGCCACAACCTCTGGGGACACCAGGAGTAAGTCTGGGGACACAAGGAGTAAGTCACACACTTGTAATAACATCCAGTGCTGGGAAAAACTGGTGTTGGAGAGGCCATTTAAAAGCTGAGATTTGTAATTTATTTTTTTTAAACACAGAATAATTTGGGCTTTTTAAAATCCAAAATGCTGGGATTCCTGTCACTGTGACATGCAGAGACCAACAGGCTGTGACATCAGCCTGAGCAGTCATGGCTCTGGCAGGCACAGCAGTGTTCTCCGGGGCTTTCAGACCTCTCAGTCCTCTGGTAAGGAAGTTTTCCCTCCAGATTCTATTAGGAAATGCTTCATGACCTTTGGAAGTTCGATTTAATTTTGATTTCTGCTTGTGGATTAGCGTTTGGTCAGCAGGTTATCAGGCCAGGAGGAGCCACTGAAAGTTCAATTTTTTTTCTCAGGAAGTTCAAGTGGGAAGACTTTTCAAACCCAAACTCAAAATATTGATTGTCAAAAAAGGAACAAGATCCCAGAGTGGAGGCAGGACAGAAGCTCACCCTGAGAAGCATCAGAAACCAGAACCTCATTCCAAGCACTAAAAAAGTAGGAACATTTATTAAAAGAATTACATGACAAATGTATGCTGAGCTCCCACTCAGTACTTCACATCCTCCTGGACAAGGAAGGAGAGATTCACTTCAGAAGCCACATGCAACAAATTCACTTTTTCATTCTATCAGGAAAAATTTTACCTCAGAACAAATTTCCCAATTCCACTGCAGCACCACATTCAACTGCTGTGACTGTGACCCCAAAATCACACCAACTTCTCCAAATAAATATTTGTACATAGAGCTGCCAGTCAGGTTTGCAAGTCTCAAACTGTACTCACAGGAGCCAATTCACTTTAAAGTGTCTTAAATATTATCAAGAATCTTGAATCAAATTTAGTAAAGAAAAGCAGATAATGCTGGTGCTGGCATTCCATTCCTGCTGCTCTCTTCCTCTCTCTGCCCCCACAGCTCACACCAGAAACATGATCAGACCCTGGAGGACAGCAGGGAGAAACACAAACACATTATCTCCCATCAAGGGATGTTGGTTCACGACACACAGCAAAGACAGAACCCTCCTGCAAAAGCCCTCACATCTAGTTTGTAGTAAGGAGGGCACAGAACTCTTTGGGAGGTGTTGAGGAGTGTCCTGGTTACTCCAGGACAGCTCCAAGGTGAACAGGGCTGGAATTTGGGGCAATTCAAGATTCTTTGAGTGGTGCCACTGGAGAGGGCTTGCTGAAAGGCTGGGTCCACATCAGAGCTGCTTCCACTGAGTTCCTCAGAAAGAAAAGAGGGCCTGGGCAGGGAACTGGGACCTGCCCCAGAGCCTGAGCACTGCTCATGATGCAGCTGGGCCCACCCCTTGTGTGGGCATCACATCCTCAGGACACTCCCTGGCCAGGGAGGCCTTTCAGTCCTTCAGGGAGTGGATTCTCCAGCCCTTGCACACACAGCCAGCACTGGCAGGGCCCTGTGAACACCCTGGAGCCTTGCAGGAGGGAGCAGCCATGCGAGCACTCACCGCTTTGATCTGAAATTCCACATTCACTAAGGGAATGCGCAGCACCTTGGGCAGCGGGATCCCCATGCTCAGGGCACCTGCAGGGCACAGACAGGAGCTCATGTGCTGAGCCAGCTCCAGGGAGGGCACAGGGAGCAGAGCTTCCCGGGGCCAGCACTGTGGGCTTGGCTTTCCTTAGCTCTCCATCACTGGCTGCTGCCAGAACCGATGCTGGGGTGGGATGGTGCAAATATAAGGTTGGGCTTTAAACTACATCCTCAAAATGGGGATTTCAGGGTTTGAATGGCTCCAGCACCCCTTGTATATCTTCCAAACACACACCCACACTCACACACACCCACACATACCCACCCACACCCACACACAGGCACACAGACACACAAAAGATGGTGGAAATATAGGGTTGGGCTTTAAACTACATCCTCAAAATGGGGATTTCAGGGTTTGAATGGCTTCAGCACCCCTTGTATGTCTTCCAAACACACACCCACACACACCCACACATACCCTCCAACCCAAACCATTCTGTGGTTCCATGGAAAAGCACAGAGTCTGGTGAATTTGCTACAGCTCATCTATCACTGCAATCACACCACTATCCATACCTAAAATGGATGCTTTATTTCCACTTTCAATTTCTCTTTTCTACTTCTACTGAATCTTGTTATGCCCTTGTCTATTGAATTAAAAGCCTTTTGAGGCATTTCTATTCCCTATATCGCTGCATACAAGCTATGCCAATTTTGCTTCTAAATCCAGCTCTTTGACAAGCTAAATGGCCCCAAATCCTCAAACCTCCCGCTATAAGGAATGCTCTCCAATCTTTAATCATGCCTTGACTGGCATTAATGACAGCACTTTCCTTTACTGCTTTATCATTCATGTCCAATATCAGGCATTTCGAACCACTGCCCAGGATCAAAGTCAAGCTGACAGTCTTACAATTATTCAGGTTACCTCATTCCTCCTTGTTATAAAACTGACACACTTTTCCTCCAGCCTCTTAAAACTTTCCAGCTGCTGCAATCCTTCCTGAACTACCCCATCCACCTTAAGCCATCAGTCAGGCATGAAATTCTCACATTCAGGTGGAATGTCTGCTTTACAGACACAGAAAATGTTTCAAGGCAGGAGCCCCAGAGCTAATATTGCAGCGGAGAGAATGTCCCCACCTGCATGAGGGGACAGCTCACCTGCCCAAGGCCAGCTGCAGCACCAGCCTGCCCCCAACAATCGACACACGGACGTTCAGAGCAAGGTCCTGCAAGCAGAGAGGGAGAGGATCAGCAGATGGAAACACCCCCATCCCAGCCACCACTCACTGACCACTCCCAGCCACCACGCTGCACCCCTCGGAGGCAGCTCCATCCACACTTACAGCCTTCAGCAGCAGGAAGTTGAGGATGGATCCATCTAAGTGGTTACTGAACAGCTGAATCAGGACTGAAAGCTTGACACTGGCTTTGTTTTCTTCCAAGAGGATGAGCGGGTTCCCTCTCAACACCAGCTTGATGCTCAGAGGACTGGTCCCACTGCAGGCGGAGCACTGCGGGAATTGGGGATGCATGGAGGTGGCTGCTGGCACCCCACACACCAGCCAGGCAGGGGACTGGCAACCCTTGGGCAGTCTCACAGCCCCATAGCTCCACAGGGCCTCCCCAAGGTCACACACACCCTGGACAAGCCAAATTTACAGAGCAAATAGGTCTGGCAGCAGGGATCAGCTCTCCATGCTGAGGGCAGAAGGGATGAGGAAGGCAAGGTGGACACAGAGGGGGCTGTGGGTGCCAGAGAGTGCCCAAGAAATGGGATACACCAGACGAGGAAACAGGAGATATTTATCAGCTTTCCATGTCAATGGCTACAGGCTGAGAGAAGCTTTCCCCTGATCAGGGAGCAGGAGAAGGCAGAACAGACAATGGCACACAGAGAGCAGGTCCTGGGCAGGGCTGTGCAAACCCCAGCCCCTTCTCCACTCCCATCAGCTGGTCAGGCAGCAGGACGGGCTCAGGCCATGCTGGTGCAAGAGGAGGGGAGCAGAAGACTGGGGACCTTTGGCAGGGGCACATCCAGGCGTGTCCTGGAGAGCCGGAGAGCTTTACACAAACCCTTGTGGCAGAAGAAGCTCCTCACCCCAGCAGGAGCGATGGTCCGCACGGCCTCGCGCAGGCGGCTGGCACCCGAGAACTGGGGGGACAGAAGCAGCCCCAGTGAGCCCTCCAGATGGTTCCAAGCACCCATCCTGCCAGGGCCACCCCATCACACAGCACCCCGAGCCCCCCACTCTCTCCACTGCTCCCCAGCTCTCTGGGTGACTCCTGGGAGTTGTTAGGGTGATGGCACCCAGCTGTGGAAGGTGAGGAGTAGCAATGTAACCCCTGTTGATGGAGTGGCAAAACTATCTTGTCCCCCTAAAAAAAAAAAGAAGCCCAGAAGTTTCTCTCATTGATTAGGTGAAAAGACATCTCATAAGACCTTGAAGACTTCACCTCAGACTTAAGGATAGCTAATTGGACAGAAGCCAAAAAGTCCCGCCTGGGCAATTTACTAGAAAAGAAGTGAACAAAAAAAACCCTAATCGCTTTTGTGAAGTGTTTTATCAGGGGCAAGAGAGCCTCTTGCAAGATCAGTTTTTCTATCTGTTATTTTGCCTTTATTAAACCTCTTTGTTTCCAACACTGCAACAAAAATCATCCTGCTAATTTTTATGCCTCCGAAAGTAGCTAAGCTATCTTAAGTGTATTATATACCTCCAAGAGCTTATGAGACCTGGCTTGAGGAGGCACACACAACAGTGATGTCCCCCAGAGGCTTTCGACACGTGCCATGTGTGGACATTTCCCATTGCAAGTGGAGACTAGAGGCACAGGAAATGCAAACACCCAGGGAATGGCACTGCAGACATGCAATGTCTTTTCTTGGTGGCACTTTGCAGACTCCTTGAAAGGCTCACGGCCTGCAGGAGTCCACGGCACAACCAGTACACAACTGCTCTCAACTGGTGTCCCCAGGGGTGTCCTCACAGCTGGGCAGTGCAGGGGCTATCAGAGCTCTCTGAGAAGGGCAGTGCTGGCAGCGAGCACACACACAATGCACACAGCCAGGGACGGGCACAAGCAGCCCTCCCTGGTGCTGTTGCTGTCCCTTGTCACTGGAACACAGCCCTGCTGTACTCACAACTTCTGGCGTGCAGGGGAAGGTCTGTGGGGGCAGCTGGAGCAGCAGGGACAGGACTGCATTGAGGAAGCTCTGGCGCATCACCAGGAGCAGGAGCCGGTCCATCAGAGGAGGCAAAGCAGAGGGGGACGAGTCGTGCGGGATGGTGCTGCCTCCCACCTGCTTCACCACGCCCTGCAAAGAGAGGGGACACAGACAGACATCAGCCCTCAAAGCCTCGAGGCATGGTCAGGTCTCACAGGAGAGCAGCGGGTGCCCGCTGAACATCTCTCCCTCCCTCCTCTCCTCAGAGCTTCAGGAAAGCACTCGGAGCAGGTCCCTCTGTTTTTTCATAGATGGCAGGAGTTGACAAAGGTGCTATTAGCTAAAACACAGTGTCCAAATCACAAATCTCTGCTTCACTTCATCCCTGAGGTCCCACTGCAAGAACTGAGGGGTGATGGTGCTGCACACAGTGACCCCAAACCTCCCCACAGCCACCCTCCAGCTCCACAGACACCCACACCGACTTTTTGCTAAGGAGACTGATTCTGACCATCGGGGGTGTTGAGGGAAAAGGCTCCTCCCAAGGAAGTCATTTCACCAAAGTTAGTTCAGCAGCATGGGTTTCACAGGCTGCAGTGTTTGCTATCAGCCCCAGCTCCTCTTTTAGTGTTCACATCCCACTGGCTTCTTGCTTTTTTAAGCAACTTGCTTTTCTAAGCTCTGTTAGCAAGTAATTTGCTTTTTGCTGGTTTTTTTTTCCCCACTGGTTTCTGTCCAGCTGCTTGCCTTTTGAAGCTCTCCTGTTTGCTTTTTGCTGTTTGAGATTTTTTCCTCACAGTGAGACAGAAGTAAAAAAATGCATCCATTTTATCATTCACCCATTGCAGAGGCTGAACAGCAAAGGCAAAAGCACCAACGCCAGGTCTGCAGGGCAAGGGAGATGAGGAGAACTGCTCATCCCATGAGAAGGAAAACTGCTCATCCCAGCAGCTACATCCAACAGACACAGGCTCGAGCAGACTCAGGGTAGGTTGGCATACAGAGCACGAGAAGAAAAGCCCACACAATCACTTAGTGGTGATTTGGATAAAGATCTAAGACCTAGGAGCTGCATTTCCAGGACAAATCATTAGCCCAGCTCCTCATGGGATTCTACAGCTCCCATGGGATGAGGAATACACAGCCACGCTCCCAGGGTCCTGCTGCCCAGCATTAACTTACATCTAAATCCAGCCCAAGGAACTTGCCAGAGGTGTAGGGGATGCTGGCCAGCTGGTAGTGGATTGTTCCTGCTGTGCCCACCGGGATCACCGCTGCACACAGGAAAAGGATCATTACAGCACCAGGAAATCAGCAGCACCACAACCTCCCCTGACCCCAGGGGCCACCAGCCCCCAAACCACAAACAGGCCCAAGCATTCAGGGCTGAGTGGTGCTTGCTGCTACTCCAAAAGGCCAGAACATCCCCAAATTCACCTTGGTGGGATCCGCCTTTAGGATATAGCACAAAAAGAGCATCAAAGACGATAAGAAAAATCCAAAGGTGATGCATAAAAATGGAATAAGGAGGGCCAAGGTGGGAGCAGTTCATTGAATGCTGGGGTGTGAATTCCAGGCTCACCAATGGCCCTGCAGAAGTGCTGGACTTCTGCTGATGCACCAAGGGACTTGATGTGGGAAATGGGTCTTGTTCCCACTGTGGGAAACACAGGGCAGCAGTGCCTCAGCCTCCACAAGCAACGCACCATTGAGAGTGCTCAGCAGATGGATGTTCACCAGGTTCATCACGATATCGACCACGGGACAGAGCTGCAACACAAAGCAGAAATGGAACTGCTCATCCCCCTCACCACCAGCACCCACAGCCTGCCCCCAGGCCCTCCTTTCCCCACCAGAGAAAGAGCTGCATGGCAACAGACACAGCTGGGATGCTGTGAAAGACTTGGGGCAGTGCAGCACCCCTGGGGCGGTGGGACCACACTGAAGGGAAATGTTTTGATCTGAGGCTTCACCCCACAGGCTGCAGCCCTGGGGACAGCCCAGCCCCGTGGCAGTGATGTGGGAGAGCAGCACAGAGAGACAGTGGATCTTGCTGTGAGCAGTTTTCCCCAGTATTTCTGTGCCTCAGCTGTGGAAGGAGGACAATCCTCAGCCGTACCAAAGCGGGCAGAGTCGCTGTCAGCTGGCGGAGCACCAGCTCGTTCACTGACAGGGTGAGCAAGCTGGAAAAAAAAGAAAAAACCTCCAAATCAGCACAAACAAAGCTCCAGGACAGGAGACAAAAAGATCTCCAGCCTTCATTTTACATTCTCCTACACCCTCAGTCATCCCTTCAGGGCCAGTGCTGTGGCTGATGCTCACCAGAGATAAAAAAGAGACACTTACCCACTGAGGAGAGAATTTCACTCATTGCTGAAAATCACAGAATCATTAAGGCTGGAAAACACATCTAAATTATCAAGTCCAACCTTCAGCTCTGCACTACCACCAGGTTCCCCACTAAACCATGTCCTCAGGTGCCATAGTCACATTTTTTTTAGCACTTCCAGGGTCCCTGCCACATCCCTGGGCAGTTTGTTCCAATGCTTGACAACCCTTTCTGTGAAGAAAATATTCCTTCAGCTCTCAGGGAGCTTTCACTGCATGAAAAGAGTGAGCCTGTCACAGTCTAACCTTGTGCTTGGTATCTCCCTCAGGTATTTAAATCAGTGCTGTAGTTAAGGGAAGAGGGAGCTGTTAGGAAATATCTTCATGTTAGTTACTGGGAACAAACAATTTGCATCTGGAATAACAAGAGGAGAAATCTGCTGTGTGACATTTCCACACTGCTGCTGAACAACTCACTCAGGACCTGTGATGCCTGCAGCAGCACAGAGGCAGTTTTGTCTGATAATCAATATATTTCTGGACTGTTGAGTTGGCAAGACACAGACAGCTGGAATTCATAGAGCACCTGTTATTTATGCCCAAATTCTGCCTACAAATGGATCTGAGGAGCTGCCATGAAGTCATTTGTGTATATTTACACCTCCCTTGGCCCCCTAGGAGTTCACTTCCTGCAAACCATCACTTTAATCCTGCTAAAAATTAAACCATGACCCCCCAGAGCAGGTGAGTCGTGTTCCTCTGTTCACTCACACAGCATTTTTCAAAACAGCTGCTGCACTGATTGAAATATAATGCATAATGCAAAAATTAATTAGGAGAATTTCGATGAACCCGAAAAGTGAGTAATTCAAAAGCAATAGAAGAAAATATTTCCCATTATCAATGTACTGCTGAGTTCATCAATACATGAAGTCAGCAGATCCTTGCTGTCAAGAATTTAATAAGACTGAGTAAGAGATGGCACATTTGCATGGAATTACACACAACCACAGCAGTCAGAGGGAAACTCCACATGCCAGGGATCCTCCTGGGACAGCAGCCAAAGGCAGAGCACAGAACCAGGGAAAGTAACAGTCCTGTTTTCCTGGAATTCTCCCAGCCCTATTACTCCTACCCTTTGGATATCAATTCTCTAGCTAAGTCTAGAGAAAGTGTGTTGGGAAAGGTATCAAACCTCATGCTTCAGACCTTAAAATTTCCACAGGCAAACAGGGCAAATTAACCCTCATTCCACTGATGCAACTGGCACTGGCAATAGGGAAGAAATTCCATCCCTGAGGCCTGGCTCTGTATCAGCGAGCACTGCCTGTGTCCTGGCAGACTGTCCATATTAATAAAGAGGAGAGGATTGCACATAAAGAAAACATAAATCCACAGGCACTTACCCAGAAAGGACCTTGATCTTTATGGCCCCAAGAACGCAGAGGCAGTCTTCAGTGACAACCTGGAACGTGCCAGATTCAAAATTCGTGCATTTAATGTTTGCAGTAATGTTCACCTCCACTAAGATATCAATGAGCTCTGAGAGCAGGCCAACCAAGCTGCAAAAAAGCAAAGGGGATTATTGCATCTCCCAGCCTCTGCACACAGAAACTCACCAAAGCCAGGAGAAACAGATTTCTCCATTTCCAGCAGGCTATTGCCAATGTCACAGGTCATTTTCGGTGTCTGTTTTGCTCTGTGACTTTATTATAGGTAAGAAACACTTCAAGATCCTTAAGAGATGCAAAATACGTCAGGGTAGGGGTTTCTCTCCCTGAATGCCCCACTCACCAGTTGCCTCTGAGCTGCAGCTTTGCCCCGATGGTCAGCTGGAGCCCGATCCCTGGCAGCAGCACCACCGACAGCCTGGGCACCCAGGCCTTGATCAGGTGCAGGCTGTGAACAACAGCAAAGGCTGGCACAAATTACAAACCCTTTCCAGCAGCTGAGCAGCTGCACCCAGGGAGGACATACAGCACCCACAGCACCCCTGCCAATTCCAGATGGAGGTACAAGGATAAGAGAGAGCTGACTACAAGAGGCAGCCTAGAACAGACTTGGGGGGAAGCTGACTTTGGAGAGCTGTCTGCTTTTTCCCTCTGTGGTGCTTTTCCCTCTCTCAGTGCTGCCAGGCATGAACAGCACCACCAGAGCTGTCATTCTGCACCCACAACCTGCAGTGTCCCTTGCTGTCCCCACCCACACTGTGACCACACTGACAACACTATTGGGTCAGATTTTCAGGATAAAACAAGGATAACAGGCCAGGCAAGCCATGCCAGGGACAGCTCAGCTCGTCTTGCTCAGAACTGATGCTGAAGGAGCACTCAGTGAAGCACTTACTCCGTGATGCTGGTGGGAGAGTTCAGCTGACCCCCTTCACCCATGATGTTGGGAACCACGAGACCCTGCAGGTGCTGGTGGATGAGCCCATTATGAATTATGGCATCTGAGAGAACTGGAAAACATCAGTGTGTGAGGACCAGCACGGGCAGCAGTGACCTCTCCCCGCTCAGGCAGATCCAGCCTGGCACAGCAAAGCCCCTCCACTCCCCAGAGCTCCTCATGGAGACATCAGCTGTCTCCATGCAGCAAAATAGCACAGGGATGGCATTTTACAACTTTGCTGCAATAAACCAAAGCTGCCCTTGGTGAAGTAAACAGGAGGGGCAGCAGTGGAAGCATCCCAGACTCCAATTCAAACATCACAGCTTGGCTGTGCACTGCCAGGAGCACCAGTGACCCCACTCAGAGGCTGGGCTCCCACTCACAACTCATTTCCCCTTTCTCAAAGAGGTTTTTACTTGTTGATTTTTGCCTGTTTATTTTTGCTTTTGGCTTTTGGAGTTTTTTTGTAGAAATAACTTGAAACAAGCCTGAACATTGCAAATATTATTAAGTCTGCTGCTTCAGAGCAGCTGTTTGTCAAATATCAGCTGCTCCAATATGGAAATGAGAAACTGAGAAAAAAAGAGGAAATAACCCAGATCTAGCCCTGAAATTCTGTGTGGCTGCTTGGAGCTGAAACGTGCCCCAGTTCTGGAGCAGAGATTTCCCTGACCCATGAATCCAGTGATGGCTCTCAGGGGCTCTGAGCAAAGTCTGCAGCCCTGGGGAATTATGAAATAAAGATGATGGGGAGTAAAACTCAGAAAGTTATACTTTACACAGAGCTTTCAAAGCAAACACAACTTTGAGGTGGTTTTTGTAGTTACCGTTCTGCATTGCCTGTGGGCTGACAGCACAGGACAGCCCAGACAAGACTTCCTGAGAGGGTGAGAGCAGGCCACAGAAAAAGATGATTCCAAAAAGCTTCAAAACCGTCATCTCCAGAAGATTCCCCTGCTGGCAAGGGAGACATCAGAGGGGACAGTGAGGAAAAAAAACTCTCAGAAGCAACCCCAGTGTCTTTAGAGGAAAGAGGTCAAGAAAGGAATCCCTCCTTTACTCTTTATCTGGATCAAAGGAGACTCTGTTCAAGCCAGAGCAACAGAACCTCCTTCATGTCCACACACATGGACAGGCTGCATGTGTGGGTCAATAAAAGCCCTTTCCTCATCCCTTGAGACTGGCCCAAAATGTTCACACAAAAGAAGCCAAACTTGATGTTTAAGCTATTTCTGTAGCCCTGCAATACACAGTTACAGGTCTGCTGGTGAGGGGTTTTGCCAAGGGAAGCATCTGAGGACTCTCTGTGCTCCTTCTACCTTTCAAAAGCAATAAACTAAAGCACAGGTGATAAAAATAAGCCAGCTAGAAGTTATAACTTAATAACTACTAACATAAATTTAATTATGCCATAGCAGACATAGAGAGGTGATCAGGAGCTTGGTGCCCAGCACAATCTCCCACCAAGCACTTCCAGCATGGAGACCCTGCCACTGCAGCTGTCACCCTGCCACCACACAAGCAGCACCCAGAGGATGTTACCTGACTCAGCTGCAGCCAGCTGGGATGGGCTCTTGGCTCCACTCAGGCTCTTCTGGGCTCCTCGAGACTCTGTGATGTCCCTTTTCTCCCCACAGCAGAGATTAAAGCATGGCCCTTATATAAAATCAGCCAAGCGGACACGCCTCTTCTGCTCAGCCTCCCTGGCCATGGGCAGCCATCCCTTTGCTCCTGCTCCTTGCAAGCAGCACCCAGCTGCCAGCTCTCTTGTTGGAAACAAGGCAACACCAGTGAGCCATCCCCCCGAGTGCTCACTTGGCCTCTGGATGCTGCTTTTCAGCCACCCCCCTCACCCCATCTGTTCTAAAAATGGTGTCACACAAAAGTCAATACACTGGGGACCCCATGAGGTAAAAAACCTTTTTAGGAAATAGGGAGAATTACTGAAGAATCTTGGCAGAAAGCTGATGTGACTTCCTGTGCAGGAAGGCAGCACACAGAGCACAGGAACGTGGGTTCTAGGAGGCTTAGAATATCTATTTTTGGCAACCTGGCGAGGTGTGAGATGTAAAAGACTCATTCCTGGTTCAAGTGGACTCCTGGGAAAAGATTTTCTTGACAAGAGGCAATACTGAGAGTTGCAGAGATCTGATAAAAGTTAGCATTTAGATTGATTTCAGATGGGTCTGCAAAGTGCCATGTAAAAAAATGAAGTTGTATTGAAATGCACAAAGCCAACGATTAACATGGTTTTGAATAAACAACACTTAAGGTAACTGAACACTGGTAGCAGCAACATGGATTTCAAAGGAAAATCTCATCCTGCAGGAATAAGGCTCTCACCCCTCAGCAGATGCCTTGGCTGGGCTTAGCAGAAGTTTCCATTGTGCAGGGCCCCAGGGAGATCTTATCTGGGCACTTTGTTTGGGTCTGGCCACCCGTGTTCAGCTGGGATGGACGTGGGGGAAGCTGGGCAGCAAAGGGCTGCTGAGAGAGCTGGGAGATGGAGAGGGGCTGGTGTGCTCAGCCTCATGGAACAGGGAGCAAGCAGAGATACAATCACCCTCCACAAACACGGGAGAGACAGGAGAGCTGCCTGGGCTCAGGGACAAGGCTGGCACAGGAACAAACAAAGCTGATCATTCAAGGTGAAGTTAGGAGAAAGCTGCTGCCACCACTGTGAGTTTAAGGCTAGTTGTCTCCTGGGAATAGAGAAGGCAGAAAAATGTACTCAGGATTCTCTTCAATGCTGCACAAGGTGTGTTTTGCAGCAGCAGCAAAGTGCTTGCACTGAGTCCCTCAGCATGTGCTGCCCTGGGCTGGGGCTCAATGGAGAAAACTTTTGCTTGTCACAGAAACTTGTTTTATTTAACACTGAACCAGCACTGCATTTGATGGGCTGGTGGCAGTCCATTCCCAAAACCAGGGGATGAATTGATGATGCTAACAGGCAACATGCTGCTCCTTTTTTGTCCCATTTCAAAGATCCAAGTGCACCAGGCTGAGCAGTCACCATGAGCACATCCGCAGTGAAGTGTCCCTGCTCCAGCCAGGAATATCACTGCTGGCAAAAGACAGCTGCTGAGCATGAACAAACGTGGATTTCCAGCTGGTTTCAGAGTGTCCCTGTGTGCAGTAAGCACCTGAGTTTTTTTCTTGCTGTGTACGTGCACGTGCCCAGCAGAGCCAGGAGCTCCCGTCGGATCCTCTCGCTGTTCCATGGATCCATGTCCACACCCTCACGTCCTGCAGCACACCTGAACCACGGCACTGACAGCAGCTGTGAGGAACACAGCCCATTTTACACACCCCGTCCATATTTCTTCTTGCTCTGTGACTTTTTCCTCCTCAGCCACCTCCCTTGTCTCCCCTCTCCTGCACCCATATTTCATCCTCTCCTTGCAGCAGTGATTTAGATATCACTTACCAGGAGGCTGGATTCACTCCTGCAGTGACAAGGGAAGATATATTAAAATAAAGCATTGCAAGAAATTGTAGAAGAGATTGTCTCAACACAACTGCTGGAAAGCAGAAGGGCTCAAGGAAAGACCAACACCCACAGAGAAGAAATGCTCCAGAGCAGCCTCTGGCATCCTGCACTGCCCCAGGCTTGGGCTTCTGCAAGAAGGCAGGTTAAAAAGCAACAGGACCTTTAGAAGAGTAATATTAAAGTAATTAAATGTAATAATTTATTAAATATTATTAAATTAACTGATTTTTTTTCTCTAATATTCAAATCATGGAAGCCTAGGGAAAACTTAATAGAATTGCACCATACAGGTCAAATTAAAATGCTGAGCAATGCTGGAGATGAAATAAAATAAGAATTTTTGCACTACATTTTAATGACAGATGGTGGTTTTGGGACATTTCAGGAGTTTGCAGGCTAGAGAAGCACAGCTTTCCTTCATTGCTATGTGACAAATAAAAATTAGGACTAAAACTAAAAGGAATAACCTCAGAGTGTTAAAATTCTTTAATGGGCAAATAGTAACTCCTTGTTTAGAGTATACATAAACTGAATCCTCTCTCTCAAGGTAAAAAGCCTAAATCTGGTGGCAGGACTTGCAGCCTGTGATGGAGCTGCTTTGTACAGATGTTCAGCCTTTTCCCTCTCAGAGACACCTCCTAGGAGTCCGTGACTGCTTCCAAACGGGTGCTGTGAACATTAATGAACTGCTCAGCCCAGATGTCAATGGAAAAAATTCCCTGATGCCAACAAGAAGGCAGCAGCCCAAGGGGAAGGAGAAAGCACTTGGGGAGGAAAGCGACGCAGCAAACTGCTGTGCTGGAACAGAAACTGGGAAAGGGCAGGGGGAACAAAATATGTTTTAAGTGCTGACTGCAGCTGTGAACTTGCAGCCCGGTCTCTGAAATGCTGAAGTTTGGGTGATGAATTGTTTTTCCCACACAGGGCAGCATACCAGATCTGCCCTGGGAGGGGATCAGGCACCTCGGTCAGGGCAGCTCAGTCCAGAGCCTGGGCATGGAAAAGTGTGACTCACTGCTCTAATTCTTCTGCCTCACTACGAGCTGGCTTGTTCAGAGATTTTTTTTTTTCCCACTCCTGTTAATGAAATTGCTCAGGGAAGTGGAAGGAAGGAGCTGTCTCTGAGCTCCCCAGTGCAGTGTAAAATGCTGAATTCAGCACCAGAAACACGGAATTAGTGCAGCACTGTCTCTATGGAGTCACCTGTGCCCTGGTTGGTTTGGGATGGATTAACCTTCCCAGAGCCAGGCTCCAAAACTAATTTTGAGCAATAGAATTTGCCAAAACTTAAACTAGAGTCTCCTAGAAAGGACCGGGAAGGTTTTAGTAAGAACGGAAGGACTCAAACCCTCCTCAGGTGTTGGGACTTGACTCGAGGCCAGGATTGACAGAAACCCACAATCCCCAGGGCCACATTTACAGTTGCTGGTTTAGCAGCTCCCATTGTCAGCAGCCCAGGAGGGCAGAGCAGCTTAATTAATACCCATCACTCCTGCAGCACAGGCAGCCTGGCCGAGCTCAGGCTGACCTGGGGCTGCTGCCTGGCACACAAACCCCGGGCAGACGTCAGAACCCTCCTTTGCAGCTGTGCCCGTGTCTGATCACTCAGCCCTGCAGTTTCCTACACTTGAGAAGCAGGAACATGATCTCAGGCAGGGGCCACACAGAGAGCCCAGGCAGGGAAAACAGGGAGAAGGACACAGAGAGCTGCCAGGAGCTGCCTGTCAGGGGGAGGCAGAGCAGCAGCATTGATTTCTGGAAGCATCCGCAGTGCTGAGCATAAACAGCAAAGCCGAGTAAAATCACTGCCATGAGATAAGCACAAATCGATGTCTCTGGGAATTTTATAGACAGGAAATTTCCTTCTTCTGAGACGCCAGCAGAAGCAGAAGAAGCATAATGTTATCAGCCTGCAAAAAGAGACAAACTTCATCAGGCAGATGCAGCACAGTGAGACGGAAAAGAAACGCACAGAAAACTCACTGGACACTCTGCAGAGCAAAAATGGGGGCACTTCTGCAGTCAGGTGTTCAGACCTTGCCCAGAGCTCCCCAACACAACACTGACAGCAGCACAGGCTGGGGGCTCACAGGGACACCCAGGGAAGCCTGGGCAGCCTTGCAAATCCCTTCCCAGCTGCTTTGGGCAGGCACTGCTCCACCAAGTTTTGCAATGTTTTATCAGCGTCTGTCACTGCAAAGACCAAAGTGCAGCCAAAGTGCTGCCCTGAGCACCTTTCTGGGTGGGTGTTTTGCACCTGGACTTTCAGGTTTGGCCCATTCCGGGTTTCCCTGGGGAATCCTTTCTCAGCTGGGCCCACACAAGAGGTTGTGACCTTCCTGAAGCACTGCCAGGAGCCTCCAGTGATGGACCACAGGGCACACACCAGCTGTCTGCCCTGTGCTTGGGGCCAGAGCCATCCCTGGCCTCTGCAGCAGCTGACCTACAC